CCGAGAGGTTGGAAGCAAGCATCTCAACTCCCATTATCTGAGCTAGTGGAGGACAGCATTGACTTTTCATTGCGTCCTATATGACCTGACTTTTCCATGATCTTTTACCTGTGAAGGTAACCTGTGAAGGCAGCCAGCCCAGTGCCCACCTCTGCTGTGCTGATGATTGGTCAAGGAATGGGATGAAGAGGGCTGCCAGACTTACTCCTCTCTTCTCCACCCTGTTCATCCCCAAACCTAGTCTTTCTAGGAGGCCTTTCTAATAAAATACAGCCATGCTTCATTCAGCCACTAGCAACTTCTGTTAAAATGGTAGGTGATAACAGCAGGTTCTTACAGCCGGGGGCACTCGGGGAGCAAGATTGATTGCTCAGGTAAGTGGTACAGGTTTAGTCTGTCTGCCCTGCACACCTAGAACTTCCAGTGGTCAGCACTTCTGGAATAAAGACCCACACACTAAGACACACATGGCAGAAACTCAACTTGCAAACTTACAGTGTGAAATGAAGTTTTCTAATAAGCCATGGGCTCGCGATTCCAAATGTTCTACACAAATCTGAAAATGGGTAGCAGAGAGGACTACTAGTCAACTTTAGTGGTAGTCACCTAACATAAAGAACCAAGGCAAGGACTCTAATCAGACTGTTAACACCCAGTAAGACATCCTTCTATTTCTAATGGCTTAGTGGTTATGAATCGGGCTGTTTACCGCAAGATCAGCAGTTTGAAACTACGAGCTGTTCTGCAGGAGAAAGATGAGGCTTTCTGCTCCTGTAAAGATTTACAGCCTCGGAAACCCTGCACAGGGTTGCGATGAGTCAGAGAAACAACTCCACGGTACATAACAACAACAACGTTGTCTCATTGCCCAAGTGTTTGTGCCTGTTAGATACCAGATTACTCTACCTGCTGTGTAATAGGGTTGCTACCACTGACCCCTCTGCTCCCTCCCCCCAGTTTTATTTTCTTTACTGTTTACCTTTGGGCTGAAAGGGCTTTGCCATAGTTACCCTTAAGGAAGAATGGTTCCACGTTTTGCATTTTAATAACCACTCTGTTCCAGATTAAGGAAACCACTATTCTTTCATTCCAATGTGTTTGTACCACAAATACAAAATCATATAATCCAGGTTCATAAATGATTTCTCCTGGGTTACATTTTCAGTTGGCATCTTCTTGATAATACAGAAGGAATACATTTGTTTTTTGTTTTTAACTAATCAAGAAACTCTTTTCAATCCCTCTGTAGAAATGTCAATCACCCTGACTGATGATACCTATATTTTTCATTCCCTTAGTCGCCCAGACAGATTTTAAATGGGGGTGCAATGGGTTCCTAACTACAAGGTGGGGTTCAAATCACCAGCCACTATGTGGAAGACAGATGAGGCAGTCAGCTCTCGTAAAGATTTCCAGCCTCAGAAATCCTATGGTATCGTTCCATTCTGACCTAGAGGGTCACTGTGATGGTGATGGGTGGTTTGGTATTCTGTGTCATGCTGTGTTGAATGTGCTGAAGATCTAGAAGGTGCTGTTGTTGTTAGGTGTCATCGAGTCGATACCGACTCATAGCCACCCTATGTACAACAGAACGAAACACTGCCCGGCCCTGGGC